TCAGGAGGACCTGAGTTCAAATTCGGTCTCAGACACTTGACACTTACTGGTTGTGTGACCCTGGGCAAGTCACTTAACCCCAACTGCCTCACCAAAAAGGAAAAAAAAAGACAGAGAGAGGGAGGGTGCTTTATTCCCTTGAGGAATATGCAGTGTAGTTAAGGGTACAAGACTAACACAAATTAAATATTATGAAATGATCCAGGTAATAAATAATGAAGTGCTCAATCATGTGAGCTAGAAAAAAAGTGCTGTAGGTCTTGAAAGGGATAGAGGATCAATCTGGGCTGAAGTAGTCAAGAAAGTTTTCATGTAGGAAAGTGGAATTGAGCCGAGTCTCAAATGATAGAGAGACTTGGATAGGAGAGAAGAGAGTACAGCAGGCAAAGAAATGTTGCTTCCTCCAATTCTGAGCATAGTAGAAGGAGCATTAGATTTGAAGTCAGAAGGCCTGCCTTTGAGTTCTAGCTCTGATACTTCCTGGGGCAGGTAAGGCACTTGCCCTGTGGTACCATGCAAGGAAATTAGCTTCTCTGAGTTTCATTCTTCTACTCTGCAAAATGGAGCTATAAAATACACCTACCCCAAATGATTATTGTAAGGAAAGCAGTTTGTAAACCTTGAGGCACTACCTTTTGTGACCAGATATTAGTAGTAGTAATAGTAGTAACTAAACTGTTAGATGAGATCCAGGATTGAATTTATTTCATAGTGAGTTAAATTATATTCACACACCTAATATAGAAGCCAGGCTTTTTGTCTTCAAGGAAATGATGATATAGTTAAGGTTATGAGTTTGACAAAAATGGTTCTAAGGACCTGTGAATGACCCATTATCTTCTTTTCTGTTCACAACAGGGCAATGATTGAAGAGAAATATGGCAAAGACCTGATCAACCTCTGCCGGAAGAAACCCTGTGGGCAAAATGAGACTAAGTATGTCCCTTTCCCTCTTTTTTGTTTCCCACATTTTCTAATGTTACCTAGATTTTCTCCCATTCCGCAGCCCTTTTTGATCAGGCAGAGTAGGCCAGTAAAGTGAGGGATCATGAACAGAATGTGAATTCAAGGTCTCATAGCCAAGTGCTCCTTCAATTTGGGATGGATCCAAGATGATGCCTTTTATTGCACCACTTTGTGATTATTTGTTCTCTGGAGTAGTGGTCCATTATTTGGTTCAATGAAGAAGGTCAAAGTTGAGATAATACATTTTAATAAGCAGAGGTACATACAAGTAAGCACAGATTCCCTCGACATTCTCCTATCAAGACGTATTCAGTGACTCTCCTCTCTCTCTCCACCCTCTAGTAAAAGCAGTGGGCATAGTAGTTCAGTGGGTTCTGAGAAGTACCAAACTCAAGACATAGGACCTCAGGGCCCACACCTGAGTTTCATGTCAGTCTTCCTTGGGGCAGAGAGGCACAGGCTCTGTTTTATAGCATCTTGGCCCTCAGTAGAGCCCCTGAGGTGACTCTTGAGGAAGGACCAACAGCCTTTGGGTGCCTCCTTCCCTTGATAATGGTGCTTGCCCTCCACCAAAAGAAAAAAAAAGAGCAGCATTTTATTGCAATGTTCAAGATGAAAACTTCTTTATCAAAAAAAAGAAAAGATGCTTATTTTTAAGTACTCCTTAAAGTTCCTGATGAAGCATTCCAAATTCCACATTTATAGCAATGTGGAATCTAATGTACCTCCAGAACCTCCTGAAGAAATAAGGGTCAGGGTACTATGCCACTTCATTTCAGGAGGTCTGAAACAAACCATCCTCACTCCCTTTCAGAGAATTTCCCTAAGAGGTCAGTGTCTATGGATAGACAATCCCTCTTCTTCATTTCCATTCACTGAAATGATACACAAGCCATCCCACATTCTCATATCTGTTACTTCAAGTTTTTAGACTTGCTCTATGATTTCAATCAATCAATCAATAAGCATTTATTAAGCGTCTACTACATGCCAGGCACTAAGTGCTGATTTCATTGGTATAGGGAACTCCTTATGAGGAAACACCCTTTGCCAGTGCATATTGGCACCTGATCTGCCACTTATAGTCTTAGAGAACTGCCTGGGGCCCTAAGACTTTAAGTGACTTGTGCAGAGCCCCATTAACTACCATGTGTGAGAGAGGAGACTGGAAAAGTCATTTAACTTCTCAAAGTTCCGGGAATGTCTCTAAGATTATAAGTTGCAGATGCCAGTATGTATTGATAGAGAGTGTTTCCCCATCAGTTTTTTTTTGAGTTCAAGATTCGTTATATCATATTGCCTCTTAAGTGCTATTGGAAAATATCAAAAGTATAGTGAACCTGCCAAATCTTCACAGAGAATGATTCATTTATTCATTTGTTCAACAAGAATTTATTGAACACTTACTATGTAGAAGACACTATGATTGGTTCTAGGGGTGCAAAAACAATTGGTCTTACTACTCTGGGCATATGCAGAGATATAGATATTATATCAGGTCATGTTATAATAAACGCCAGTAAAATGAAATATTTGCATTAATTATAATAATTTTCTAGTCATTGGTGATGTCATATTTAATAGCACTGGACGGGGAGTTGGGACATGTTCGTTTTGTTTCATTGCTAGTTAGCTATTAGTGGGTGAGTTGTGATACCTCTCAAAATGTGGCAGTGTTCTTATCTGTATTAATATGGGTGGGGGCAAGGAGGTTGAACTAGGTTATTTCCAAGGTCCCTTCTAGCTCTAAAGTTCTATTACTATATTTCAAGAAATGTTTTTGATGTAGAAAAATCTTAGTACAATGGAAGAATCAGGACAGTGTCAGGGAATCTCCAGAAAGTTACAGTGAAGCTGGAAAAGTTTAGCAAGGCCCTTAATCTGGCAAACCCATTAGTCTAGCATTTAAATGATTTGCATGAGAACAGACCAAAAAGATGAGGCCTGAACTCATCATTTTTCCCTCCTAACCTACTGCTCCTCTCAAATTCCCTCTATCTGCAGCTGGCAACACCATTCTTCCATTTATCTAATCTGGAAATAGAAATCTTATCTGAGTCTTCTCTTACCCTCAACCCTCACATTCAACTGGATTTCCATAGCATCCCTCTTACTGTTCTCCTCTCTGCTCCCACTGCTCCCACGTTAGTTAACAATCTCATTACCTTTCCTTCTGGGCTATTGTAATAATCACCCAAATAGACTCCTGGTTTCTAGTCTCTCTCCTCTCTAGTCCATCCTTCACATAGTGGACATGATAGATAGATAGACAGACAGATAGAGCATTTATTAAATGTTTACCATATGCCAGGCACTGTGCTAAGTGCTAGGGATACAAAACCAAGAAAAACAAGATGGTCTCTACTTTCAAGGAGTTCATATTGTAATGGGGAAACATAGAAGGGGAGCTAGGAAGTGAGGGGTTAAGGGGAGAGTAAGGTACCCATATCAAGGCAATCCCAGGGTAAAGCTATCCTTAGAAGGGCAAGGCAGCAGGTGAAGACCTGGAACAGACCATAGTAAGCTGGGAGTGAAGTGAGTATGTGATAGGGTGGCATAGACTGCAGAGTGGGTTTTAAGGCATTGCTCTGATGACATCACTTCTGTGACCAAAGGAGTGGCACTCTGAGGTGTACTGGAAAGATTTGGAGTCCAAGGACCTAGGTTCCAAATTCAGCCTTCTTACTACTGACCAAATAAATCCCTTCCTTTCTTTTGGCCTTGGAGCTGTCATTTTTAAAATGAGAGGGTTAAAGTACATGATCTCTCAAGCCCCTTCCAGTTGGAAATCTGTGTGACCTTTTTGTACTTCCCTGTGGTTCTTCCTCTTCACACCTGCCTCTGATACAGGCCTTGGGCGTGAACTCAGTGCTATGATTATGAGGGATTCACAACATGTAGCTTCCAGCCCTGGCTTGCTCTCATGTCTAGCAATGGAATGTTAGCAAGTGAAGCAAAAATAGATTTCATTGGTGAGGGGAACAAAGATAGCACCATGATTTCTCCCTTGTGCAAGTCAGAGGGTCAGCAGCAAAACAGTATTATTTCCCAGATAGGGTGGTGTTTTTCCTTAAGGTACTGTAGAGACCGCATATCTGCCCTAGCTCCTTCAACTGGGAGACCTTCCTATGTATCTGCTAACATGTTCATTTACTTAATTTACTCTGGTAGGAAGTTAGCTACTCAGAGAAACCCACTCATTTTTTTCAGGCCATTAATGAATTCCTTTAGGTAGAAGTTGACCTTATTTTGGCAGTGCAGCAGGTTCCTGGAAACTACCTTGAAAGGAAAGCAAATGTGTAATTTTGATGTCCAAACTTCGTATATCCTTCCTTTTTTGTCAGAGGTGGTAAAAATGTGTACGGAATATTGCATATACCGTCTGATTTGGTTAGTGTATTCGTTAGTTTTGTTGAGGTGCTTTTTTCTCCATTTCTTTTTTATTCTTTTTTGCAAGGGGTAGCTTTGGTAAGGGGGAGCATTTTGTGAAAAAAAAAGAGATATAAACAAAAGTTGTGTAAAGAAAGAAAAGAAAGCAGAGGTCTGAGAAGTGAGGTATTTAATATTGAATGAACAGAGTATCAGAGTAGAGCTGGAAGACAGGGACTGTGATGTCTGTCATTTAGTCAATAAGCATTTATTAAGCACTACTACATTCCAGGCACAGTGCTAAGCACTGGAGAGACAAAGAAAGACAAGAACATGGTCCTCCCCAGGAGCCTGCATTCTGGTGGAGAAGACGGTATGCGAACAACTATGAACATGAAAGATATACAGCTTGTAAATGGGAGTGAGTCTTAGAGGGAAAGCTGCAGAGGGAACCAGGAAAGGATTTGTGCAGAATGTGCTTTGACATGTGAGCTGCGACTTGAAGGAAGTCAGGAAGCTCGGTGATGGGGGTAAGGAAGGCAAGCATTCCAGGCATGGAGGACAGCCGGGCAAATATCAGAACTGGAGTCAGAAGATGGAGTGCCTTCTTCCAAAAAATAAATAAATAAATAAAAACAAACAAACAACAACCCAAAAATAATATAAAAAAATCAAGAAGTGGTAGTTTGTATTTCAAAAGGACCCTTAGTGCTAATTTTCAACCTTCTTTAAATAATAAAAGCTCTTAATAGGATGTTATCAGAAAAATGTAAGACTTAAAAAAATAATAAGGGCACATCACAGAAAGAATGAGGGATAATTTTTGAATAGACCATGGTACTCTGTTGGTATCCAGGGAATATCAAAAGAATTGCAGGGACGGCCTCAGCGTGTTGTGTGGAGGGACCTCCTGTGGGAAATTTATGGCAGGACATTATTTAGGCCTTTCCAAAATTGTGATTATATCCCTGCATTTGCTTTTTCAGCACCATGAAGAGGGCCCTGGAAGTCTTCAAGCAGCGTAAGTGTTTAAGGTTATTCTCTGTCTCTTAAAATTTCTGTACCAGCCTAGTGAAAGTCTGGTGGTGGGAGTACCTGTGAGGTGCAAACAAATTCAGCAGAATTCTTCTGGCTTGGTGATTTCAAGAGAGCTGGGCAATCTTGCATAATTTCTCTTCATTCTTTTCATTTGTTCATTCAGCAAATATTATCTTACAATCGACAAGCATGTGTTAAGTATCTTCCACCTGCCAGGCAAATGTGCTGTGTGCCAACGATACAAAACCAAAACTGAGCCAATTCCTGTCCTCAAGGAGCTTATGTTCTGTCTATTTAATGAGAGGCAATATGATGTAGCAGAAAGTGTCCTAGACTTGGAATCCTAGAGCTCTGGGTTCTAATCCAGCCTCTTTTACTTGCTATGGAGGCAGCTAGGAGGCTCAATGTATACAGTGCTGGGCCTGAAGTCAGGAAGATCTGAATTCCAGTACAGTCTCAGACACTTACTAGCTGTGTGAGCCTGGGCAAGTCACTTAACTTCTATTTTCCTTAATCCACTGGAGAAGGAAATGGCAAACCACTCCAGTATCTTTGCCAAGAAAACCCCATGGATGGTATGGTCTATGGGGTCATGAAGAGTCAGTGTGACTGAATGACTGAAAAACAACAACAGTAATGACATACTTTACTATGTTTCATGGCCAAGTCACTTAACTTCTCTGAATCTCAGTTTCCCTGCCCATAAAATGAGAATAATAATGCCTAATTATTAATAATACCAACTTCATAGAACTATTATAGAGATCAAATGAAGTAAAATATATGAAGCATTTTACATACCCTAAGATGTTTTTACAAATAGCCATTATTATTATTTGTTGTGGCTTGTTTTTAGCAAGAAGGACTGTCTTTCCCAGTGTCAGGGCAGAGCTGGGTGATAATCATCATGGACCTCCTATGATATCCCAATATCAGTGTCCTCAGTCAGACTTATCCCCTTGCCCATATTTTCATGTTTGTGCCAGTTCTGCAGACAGCTCAGAGAGCTCCCATCAGCTGAGTACATCATACTATGAGGGCATTTGCTACCATCCTCAAATACTCTTACACAGGTAAAATCTGGCTAAATTGACTAGTGAAGGTGGCTTCGATGCTGTGTATAGATTTTGAGTATGTAGAAGGAAGAAAGGTACTGTGCTCAGGCTTTATGGGTTGATCAGATGTGTTGGATCCTTTTTCTGCTTTCTTGGCTGTCTTATTGTTTTCCCAGACTGGATCTAACAATCAGTTTCTCCCAAATTTTGGCGCCATGACCGACGATTCCCTGGTGTTTGCTGAACCTTAAGGATTCTGTTACTTTCTCTAACACACACAATTTCTTCCTCCTTAGCCTCTTATATACAGACTCATTGTGACACTCAGGTGAAGTCCTGCCATCTCACTCTTACTTAGTAAGCTCACCAGGGGATGGTGGATTTATCTTGTTTATCTTGCTTCTTAAATCTTGGGGAAACTGAATTCAGGAAGAAGCCTTTGAGAAGTAACCAATTCTCACAGTTTTTAAACTTCCAGTGTGAAGTAACCAATTGTCATTGTTCAGTCCTATGGGGATGTTCCTCTTTTCTAGTTCTTTGTGGGTTGAGGAATGGCTTTCTTCCTGATGTAGCCATCTTTGTCTCAATCACAGTACCTGGAAGTCAAATAGAAGGCAAAGTGAGAGGCCTTTCATAATGTTTTTTATTTCTGGACTACATTGCCCTTGTTGGGGTATAAATGAGATTTGGGGCTTTGACACTGAGATTTGCACATGAGTGATCATGCATGATAAGAAGAGACAAATCTGAACTCTACTCTCAGCTGACATTCACTTGCTATGGGACCTCAAATATGCCACTATATCTTTGTGGGTGATCTTCATTTATGAGGGGGTTATACTTGGTGACTGGGCAAGTAACTTAACCATGCTGGTCCTCTGCTTCCTCGTCTATAAAAATGAACCAGATGATGTCTAAGTCTGCCTGTGTGTTTCACTTTTGGAAGCATTGAGTACCTTTCTCAGGAGGTGACCCAGGGGATGTTCAGGGAGGACTAGTACCTCTGGTGTGAGGGCTTGCTGACCCCTTTTCAGGACTGCTCATCCACCCAATTCGGTGTCCACCTTCACTCGACTCTCACCTGTGTCTACAAGAAGCTGTATCATGCACAGTGGCCACACCCCAATAAACTGACTCAGCAGACAGGCTAAACCAGGTTGCGGGTAACCAACAGGCCTCAAACCTGTCAGTGAATTAGGGGGATGTCTACCCCAAACGTATGAAGACTCCCCCTGGTGGAATGGTTAGATGAGAACAATTTGTTCCAACAGCCGTGAAAGCAGCTGAAGCAGGCGCTGTGGAGTGCTTAGAGCTTGGTCAAGCATCGAAGGCACCAAGGTCATCCACTGTATCCTGGACCAGTCATCCTGACTTTTGACTTGTCACCAGACTTCAATAACTGGAAGAGAGCATGAGGCTGATGACTTTGCATAACTCTGCCTCACTTCAATTCACATGCAAGTCAAGACACCACACATGATATCATTGGTCTTTTCTGAAATAAAAGGCCAAACAACAACAAACTCACTGACCCACCATTATATATCTGATACCATCTCAGGTGCTACCCCTGAAGCTTTTCCTGATTCTTCTAGTTGTTAGAGCTCTCCCTCTCCTTAAATAATCTTATTTTTGCTTATCTGTGTAATGTAGCTTTCCCTCAGTGGAATGAATGTAAGCTCCTTGAGGACTAGGACTGCTTTTTATTTTGTCTTTGGACCCTCACCTCCAGTGCGGTACTTTATGCATAGCAGGCACTTAATGATTGCTTGTTGGTTTTCATTGAATCTGTACCACTCGATGGTGTGCTAGAAAGAGCTCTCAACTGGGAGTTTTTTTGGGTTCTAGTCCTGGTTCTGCTACTGACTTGCCATGTGATAAGTCCCTTACCTTCTTCATCTGCCAGTGTCTCCATCTGTAACATCAGAACTAGAATGTTTCTGGGGTCTCTTTCAGCTCTAATGTTTTATAACATTCTCACTCCTGAAACTCAGCACCTAATGCTTTCTGCTTCTCTGAAGGTGCTGAGTCCTTTTAATATGGTTGTAACTGACGTGTGCCAAGGGTATGTTGACAGTGATCAATCAACAAGCTTTTACTAGGTGCCTGTTATGGGACAGCAATTGGGTACACAAAACTGGGGGCAACTAGATGGTGCTGGGCCTGGAGTCAGGAAGACCTGAGTTCAAATTTGTCCTCAGACAAATTTTACTAGCCGTATGACCTTGGGCAAGTCACTTACCTCTATTTGCCCTAGTTTCTTCAGCTGTAAAAATGAGGATAATAATAGCACCCTTCTCTCAGGGTTGTTGTAAAGATGAAATAAAATTTTTAAAAAATGTGAAAAGTGCTTAGCCCAGCTATTATTTAGTAATAGCTACTAATAATATTATTATTATTTTAAATTTTAATATAATTTAGTTTTAATATTATTAGTAATATTATTAGCTATTATTAAATTATAAAGTCTGCCTCAGGAGACTTTTCCAATAGAGGAGAAACCACACACATAAATAGGTATATGTGTTCAGTTGTTTTTCAGTTGTGTCCAACTCTTCATGGCCCCATTTGGGGTTTTCTTGGCAAAGATACTGGAGTGTTTTGCATTTCCTTCTCCAGATCATTTTACAGATGAGGAAACTGAGGTAAACAGGATTAAGTGACTTACTCAGAGCCACATAGCTAGTAAATGTCTGAAGCTGCATTTGAACTGAGGAAGATGAGTCTTTCTGACTGCTGGTCTGGTGGTAAATATATACAACATACATACATAAAAAGCAAATACAAGGTAACTTTTGGGGGAAGGCACCAGTAACTGGGAAGGGAGGGATGGGGGGAATAGATCAGGTAAGATTTCGTGTGGAAAATTGTGCTTGTGCTGGGTCTGGAAGGAAACCTGGGATTTCCAGAGACAGAGGGAAGAAGTGAATACCTTGCATGCACAGAGGACAGCCGGGCAATGTTCAAGTTGACTTGCTCACAGTTCTGTTGCTATTCAGCGAACAAGCGGGGATTCAGACATGAGCCTCTCCAGATGTCAATTCTTTCTCTACCTGGGGTTCTTTGCATATTTTGTGTCATGGACTCCTTTGGCAATTTCCTAAGCCTATGGACCCCATCTCAGAATAATGTTTTTTAAAATGAATAAAATAAAATACAAAGGATTATAAAGGGAAACCAATTATATTATATTGAAATAATTTGTGAAAACATTTTTTAAAAAAGTTTTGGATATCAGATTAAGAATTCCTGCTCTATGCCATGTCCTTTCCAGTGGTGAATGAACTTTATGCCATTGAATTTGTGTCAAGCATTTTCATATAAGTAGATGAATAAATTCAAATTTGGACTTATGTCGACATTGGTTTCTGTTCCTTTCTTCTCCCTTTTGCAGAAATAGACAATGTAGGACAATCTCATCTCCAGTTGGCACAAACTCTACGGGAAGAAGCTAGGAAGATGGAAGAATTCAAAGAAAAGCAGAAAATACAACGGAAAAAGGTTAAGTTTTCATATTAGCAAAGAAGCTAATTCTCCTGGTAGTAAATGCTGTGGCCCATTCTTTTCTTTAGACATTCTGGGTAGTTCATTTCCAGGCCCAACTCCACCCTTACCCAGTCCTTAGTCATTTTTGAGATAGTATTGTTACTTTTGCAAGCCATTTGAACTTCCTCTCCTTAAAAACTACAAACACCTAATTCTCTGTATCTGGAGTATGTTCCAGAGTGCTCTGTATACACTTTTATGAATTAGCTTTCATGAATTAGCTTTCATAAATTTCCTCTTGGAATTAAAAAGTAAATCTTCTCTGTCTTCTTTAAAAAGTCCCAAGGTTATTTTAAAATTACATAATTATTTATGTCACAATAGGTACTTTGCTGTACCACTTCCTCATTCAGATATCTCATTTTTTTTTTTAACAATCTTTGGAGAAAAATGAGTCAATGCTAACTTCTCTTTTTAAAACTACCTTTTCTTTTACTTCCTAAAAAATAGGTTGTAGAGAGAGATCTTTGCTCCCTTGGTCATAAAACCAAACTAGGTGTGGAGTGAGGGAGACAAATATAGATCTTTCCAGTCTTTTACTAGAGCATGGAAAAAAGAAACTCCCATCATCACCAAAATTTCTATCCTAAAAATATTCTGGCTGAAGTAACAGTATCAAGTCTTAGGGAGAGGCTTAGAGAGAGATCATGGGCTTTCCAAAACTGTAGCAGAAACAGACCAGGTATGACCAGATTAAGAGCCATTCTAGGGTCAACACAAACCTCACTGAGGGTAAGATTTCCACTTGTGTAAGAGAAATGAATGCTTCTGGTATCCAGACCACTGTTGGACTGGGTTCATAAAGGCAAACTGAAATGGAGAGCTAAATAGCTATTCAGATCATTTGATCAAGGTTCATGGCCAATCTGTATTTTTTTGGTCTTCAAAACTCTGTCTCCTAGGTAGTAAAGGTATTCTTTGATCAAGAACTATTCACATAATGAGCTTAATTCTTTTTTTTCCTATTTCTTTTTAAAATTAATTTCTTAATTTAATTTTTAAGATTATTATATAAAAATTATTTCTCCACCCCACTTCATCCCTCCAACCCACTGGAAAAAAAAAAGGAAAAACAAAGTCTTCCCAACAAATATTCATAATCAAGTGAAAAAAAAAATTCTTTCATTGGCCATGTCTGAAAGAAAGAAAAATAAATGTCTTAATCTGTATCCCGAGTCCAGCATTTCATCATGCCTCTTCTACAGTAGTGGTTGGTCATTATATTGATCAGAGTTCCTAAAAATGAGCTCAGTTCTTTCATTATTTGTCCTGTGTGGACAAAATATCCTTGTAAGAAGTGTTTAATTTAACAGAACCAGAAAGAGAACCATTGACCTTATTTGACGGAGTCTTTGACTCTTGAAAATTAGATTAGTTGCTCTGTTCTGCCCTTCCCCCTCACTATAATGTCACCATACATACACCATAATGTAGTGGAAAGAGCATTAGATTTGTAATCAGGAGGACCAAGACACAAATCACAATTCTGACACTTGATAGTTGTGAGACTCTGGCAAGTAACTTCTATGAGCATTGGTTCCATTATGGGTAAAAGAGTCCTAAAAATATTCATACAACCTATGCCACAAAGTCAGGAGCAAAGGTTAAAGTGTAAAGCTTAAAGTGCTTTAGAATTGTGAGTTATTATGTTACAGAGATTTTCTATTGTAGGAAACAGATAAGAAGGAGGCATATTAAAAGCATGGCATAGTACAGAGTAAAAAGCATCAGGGGACTCAATATCCAGTCTTCATTCCGCCATGAACTACCTGTGTGCCCAAGCGTCTGTCACTTCACTTAGTCTCAGTTTTCTTATCTGTAAAATGAGAGTATTTAACTAGATGATCACTAAATTCTCTTCCCATTCTACCATTTTCTGATGACAATGTGGGAACACTTTGTGACTTGCCCCAGGTTGCAGAGATAGTGGTAGTTTTAGTTTGGGTGGCATTACTAAGTACTGATAGAGTTAGGAGAAAGGAGAGATCACTGTGGGATAATGACCTTTGCCATTACTTTGAATTTCCTGAGCACTTCTTACACTACTCAACTCAAACCAACATTTATTAAGTACCTACTAGATACAAGGCACTGTGCTAGATGCTAAGGATGGAGAATAAAACAGCATTTGGATTCAAAGAGCTTCAGTCTTATGGGGAGATACAGCATGAACCCAGATGAATGTGACACAAGATAGACCATAAGATAGACCGTGATAGGGACTATCCTAACAAAGTATTCTGGGAAAATTGGAAGAGTAAGAATTCAACTTAAGTCAGGATGATCAGGGAAGGTTTCGTGGAAAAGATGGTTCCTGAGCTCAGCTTTAAAGGAAGAGAAGGATTTCAAAAGTCAGAGAGAAAGTGTGAAACAAGTGCAGTCTAGGCAGAGAGACATGAGGAAATTTGGAACAACTAGTTGTTTGGAACTTCTAGTATTGGATATATAGCTTCTTTCTTTCTCCCAGATATATTGGTCCTGGAGGAGGAACTGACATACAACTTGTTCTTCACTACCACTTCCAGACCTTCCTTTTGTTGTTGGCACTCAATATCTTCATTTTGGAGCTTCAATCTAATGATCTAGATATCATTCTATCTAGATCTTAGAGGCAGTTATCTCCTGGCCTCAAGATCATTCTTCCTCAATTCTGAAGGAGTTTAGTATCCGGCTTGGAGTATTCCTCTTCACTCTCAATCCCTGACTTCCCAGTTCCTCAATCTCCCCAGCCCCTATGATCTACTCTTTCACTCTACCTCAACCACATGTAGTACAGTAAAGTTTAATTAACTGGCTCTCAGAAAAATTAACATGTGCAAGACATGCTTTTAAATTTAATGTACATTATTAACTTTTTTCTCCATCCCTTTCTTAAATCTGGATAACCAACAAGGCAATAAATCAAGCCCTGATTTGTTGTGTTTGCCAATTTCCAAGGTATAAATGCTCACACTCAAAATTTAATGGTTGGAGCTAGCTTCAGCACACCTCTGGCACATCTTTGATATTAGCATTATCCACAAGTATTCTACTTTTGTGATTAGGAATTCTGAATTTCCTCTATCCACCCGTAACCTTCTTTCATCTCTATGTTTCACTCTTTCAAACATATTTTTTGTCTTCATTGTGACCTCAATCTTTCTATCCCTTAGTAATCTTCTGCACCATCATCACTGATCTGGCTTCACTTTTCTCCTTTTCTGATCATGACACAAAAGTTAACCAGTTAAATGTTACGTTATCCTCTATGCTCAAATCCCTTGCTCCTTTGTTCTATAATGACTCATGCCTTACCAGACCCAGACTCTCTCTTTTCTTATGAAAAAGTGGCTCTTATACCCTACTTCTTATCAAGTTTAACACCTTTACTTGTACCTTGATCCTATCCCCTCCTATTTCTTCTAACAGATTACCCTGATCATCATCTCCATTCTCTGTAATCTTTAATTTTTCTAAATCTAATGGGCCCTTCCCTACTGCCTACAAAAATGCCTAGATCTCCCCCATCTGCAAAAAAAGAAAAAAAATCTCTCACATGAATCTTTCATTTCCTTAAGATGTCATCCTGTAGTCAGTCTCTCTCTGTCTCTCTGTCTCTGTGTCTGTCTCTGTCTCTCTCTGGAAGAAAAACTATTTTCATTTGTTGCCTCTACTTTCTCTCCTCTTACTCATAGTCTCAGACTTTTTCAATCTGGCTACATTCCCATCACTTAATTGAAACTTCTCTTTCCAAAGTTCCCAATGATCTCTTAATTGTCAAATTTGAGAACTTTTCTCAGTCTTCCTCCTTCTTGAACCCTTTATAGCATTTGGCACTATTGCCACCCTCTCTTCTTCGGTATTTTCTTCTCCTTTGCTGAATATTTTCTTATCTCTTCTGGGATATTTTCTTCTCTCTGGGTTTTCATGACATTACTCTCTCCTGTTTCTTCTCCTTTCTGTTTGGCTATTCCTTGTTAGTCTTTGCTGGATCAACTTCCCTTTCTCACCCCCTCCCTATGGGTGATCCCTAAGGCTTTGTCCTGGATCCTTTTCTCTCAATAACAACTGTAAGCAGAGATTCAAAGGGGAAAAAATGAATTTTCCACAACTACATGAATATCTAGAAGAAATACCTCTTAAGCAAGAGATAAAAGTGAAATAAAAACTCTGGAGGAAAGAATATAGAAAAATAACTAACTTAGAGAGACAATATTAAATCTCATCCAAGAACTGGAAGCCTGGGACTGTGAGCTCTAGGGCAGGGACTGTTGCCTTTCTTTGTATTGTCAGTGCTTAGCACAATGCCTGACACATAGTATGTGCTTACTACATGCTTGTTGAATGACTTACTAAAAACCAATTTTTAAAAAGACCTGGATGCTGTATTTCAAGAAATAATAAATGAAAACTGCCCAGATCTATTAAAACCTGAGGGTACAGAATGAAACATTTTTTAGATATGAACAATGTGGAAGATTTGTTTTGTTTGACTGTGCATATTTGTAACTACAGTTTTCTTTTTCTTTTTTAATTGGGGTGGGTAGGTGGGAAATAGAGAATAGATTTTTGTTAATTGAAAAAAAAAGTTTAATTAAAAAAAAAAAACCAGAGCACAAAATAACGAAAGAAAGACTCCACTAGTCACCTCCTGAATTGTGGTTTGTCCTTCAGTCTCGAAGAGGACCATGGCATCAGGAAGATGATACCATGACTTGTAAGTGAATCGGTTTTAAGTGAGGGAGGGCTGTACAAAATCACCAGTCTCACTTTTTCCTCCAGAGCCATCTGGGTCCAGTGGACGGTTATAGATCAGGACACTGGCCCAGGATGCAGTAGAAGGCCTTGGCCTTTTAAAGTCAGTCTCTCCAAGTTCTTACTTTGAGGCAATGCCCATTCAATAATTAGGTCTGTTTTTCTGATATAGGAAATCTAGATTTGGAGTCCGAGACCTCAAGTTCAAAATATAACTCTGACACGTACTGGCTAAGCAAGTCCCTTAATTTATCTGGACCTCAGATTTGTCACCTCCTGAAAGAAAACACAAAAGGAAATGTCTCAGGAATGTCAAAGAAAAAATACTTTAAGAATCTGAAAAGTAGTTCAAATAGAAGGAATTATAGACAGGCTCACACAAGAGCTGAGGGCTTCTACTAAAAATGAGAGGAGAATTCAGAATACAATAATATTACAAAAGGCAAGAGATACAGGCTTACAACCAAGAATAACTTACCCTGCAATGCTGAGTATAATCTTTTTTTGGGGGGGGGGAATGGATTTTTAATGAAATAGAGAACTTTCAAGTATTTCTGATGAAAAGATCATAGCTGAATAGGAAATAGGGGATATAAACACAAGAGTCCAGAGACATTTTGAAAGGTAACTTTAATTGTAAATTTAATTTAATTAATTAACTTTAAAAAAATAAAGTAATTGGAAGGAGCTGTATAATGATGTAATGATAACATTCTAATGGGGGAGAAGAAACAAGTGTCCTTTCAGAACTTTAATGTCTTCAAAGAGTATTTATTGAGTATTTAAGTAAGGAAAACCAAGGTCCTGAGGAGTATTGGTCCTATTCTTAAGGTTTTAAGAGGGGAAAGAGAAGGGAGGGTAAAAGGAAGAATATACGATTGTAGAGAGAAGGAAGATGAGGGTGGAAATTGCTACTTCTCATAATTAAGGTGTGTGAAGTGAGGAATATACAAACACGTAGAAGGAGATGGGGAGTGACCTCATATAAGCCTCACGCATCAGAAATGGACAAAGAAAAGTTGAATATTCAAAGTTTGGTGCAGGAATACATCCAACTCAACGTGGGGACAAGTGGAGATAGGGAGAGGATAATACCAGGGAAGGAATAGTCATAAGCAAATCAAACTTTCTGCTCCTGAAGGGGCGGCTAAAAGGAGGGAAAGAAAAGATAAAAGCAAAGAATTAAATCTAAGGAGCTGCCTTAGATTGCCTCTTAGAAGACTGGGGAATGGCTGAACAAATTGTGGTATATAAATGTAATAGAGTATTATTGTGTCGTTAGAAATGGTACGTGATTTCAAAGAATCTTGGGTAGAATGAACAAATATAGTTAAATGAGCAGAACTAGGAGAACAATTTATGCAGGGACAAAAACAATTTAAAGGAAAGCAACTTTGAAAGACTTCAAAACTCTAATCATTACGATGACCAAACGTGACTCCAGAGCGCCTATGATGAAACCTCCTGGAAGAGAGGTGATGGATGCGAAGTGTAGAAAGAGAGATATGGTTTTGAACATAGCCACTGTGAGGTTTCCTTTTCCTTGGCTAGGCTTATTTGATAAAAGTTATTATTCCTATTTTTGCTTTTCTCTTTTGGTTAATGTTGAGAAGAGGATATTAATGTTAATGTTTGGTTAATGTTGAAAGGGTAGCAATGGTGATGTCAAAAAAAGAGGGCTATTGTGATAGTTTTAAAAATGCACAGAAGAGAACAGAAAGAAGTTTAAAAGGAAGCAAAGAAAAGAAATGTAGTTTTGAAAGTAATTTGTAAATTTCATTGTTTGCTTAAAAATAAAACCCAAGATGTGTGCAATGGAGATTCACAGCATTTTGACAGAAGTTTAGGAAGGTTCAAGAAATTCTAAATTTTAGTTCAAGGACACATCAAGCACACAAGACAGTAGAGAAAGCCTAAATCATTGAGGAAACACAGTATAAAAGGTAGATGATGATGGTAACAGATCAGGTCTATTGGAACCTGGGTGGAATTGAGCTCATCCCACTTGAGTCCTAGAAGGAATGGTATACCCCCAGACCAGTAAACTAGTATGGTGCACCCCCAAACCAGTTTGGTGTACTTTTACAAGACTCTTGTCTGGGTTGGGTAGGAGTAGGCATAGGAGGAAGGAAGCTCTGGTTGTTGACTGGTCTTGATTCATGTTAGTGGGGGAAGGGAGGGGGAATTAGCAGCTAAATTGACAATTTGTTGCCATTGATCTCATTCTGACAAAGTGACTTAGAGCTTCTTGTTTATCAGATTAGTGAGCACCATGGTTTCCTATAGAATTCTTTCTGTACCTGTTGTGTATGGAAATGCTCTTTTTTGCATGTGTCTAAGTTCAAAATTTTTAAAAAAAGAACAGAACTCCAGTGGCCCCCTATTGCTTCTTAGATCAAAACCAAACTCTTTTCTTTGATATTCTTCACAATCTGGTTCCAATGAAGCACATTACATATGAATCCTCTTCATACATTCAGTGATCCAACCAAACTGGTCTTCTTGCTATTTCTATACATTGATTTCCATCTCTTATCTCCATACCTTTGCACAGGTCATCACTCATGCCTGGAATGCCCTTCCTCTTCACCTCCAAATAACAGAGTCCCTAGCTTGCTTCAAAGACTGGCTCAAGTGTTCCCTTCTATATGAGGTTTTTCTTAATCCCTCCAGAGGCTAGTGCCTCCTCCCCTTGAAATTAATTTGTGTTTATAGTGTGTGTTTGTGTGTGTTTGTATATATATACATATATGTGTACACATACACATATATCACATATGCTTGCTTGGCGCCACGAAGACACAGAGTTTAAATTCTGGTTGAGATCCTTACTAGTTGTGTGATCCTGGGCTAGTCATTTGATCTCTCTCAGGCTCAATTTCTTCATCTGTAAAATGGGGATAATAATAACATTTACTTCACTGGGTTGATATGGTGAGATAATTTATGTAAACAGATTTGCAAACCTAAAGCACTATGTATTTATTGCTATGAGTGTGTGTTGTTTCCCCAACAGATTGTAAGCTTCCTGACCACAGGAACCTTTTGTCTTTGTATCCCTGGTGCCTAGCATGGTGCCTGGTACACAGTAGGTGCTTAATAAATGCTTATCAGTTGAGTGGTTGACTGAAAGGGAGTGGTATAAGAAAAGGCTAGATAGGTAGTTTAGAGATAGATAGATATATTTTATCTAATAGGTAATAGGGAACCACTGATGGTTCTGGTCAGACCTATGCATTAGGAAGATTAATTTGACAAGTGTTTGAAAGCACTATTGAGAAGAGGAAGGAAGAGTAGTTGGATTATCAGTTCCTAGGATTGTAAGTTTTCAGTCTGGAAGGTCATGTAGTCTAACCTCCTCATTTTAGGATTGGGGAACTGAGGCCTAGAAAGGTTGCCCAAAGTCATGCTGGGAAAAAGCGGCAGAGCAGAAATTCAAATCTAAGTCCTTCCCTCCTTCAAAGTTTTTCCCAAATGAATAAGTTCATTGTCAAAAAAAAAAGTCTAAAATCTAAAATCAACCTTCTTTCCACCTTAGTATGTAGACTATGATGATAGAACGAGTGACAGGAGAGGGGAGCCTGTTGGCAGCATGAATTGTGAGGAAAGGAAGGACACAAGAGATCCTTGTGACAGCAGAACCAACAGAACCTGGCAGCTCACTGGGTGTGAGGGAGGAGCGGGGAGGAACAAGGAAGGAGGGGGGAGGGAGGAAGAGGAGTCAGAGAGGACGCGGAGATTTCAAACCTGGGTAGCTGGGAGTGGGGTGGTGCCATCAGGAGACATAGGAACATTGGGAAAAAGGAAGAGTTTTTGTTAGAAATTGGATGGAAGTACCCCAGACATTTGCAGAATTTCCTTCCCTATAAATCTTCAGCTATAAGAAAAATATTTACTAGTTGTGTGACCCTGGGCAAGTCGCTTAACCCCAATTGCCTAAAAAAAAATATTTAGTTGGGAAGATTTAAGTATGACATCACTTATGAGCACAGGGGAAGAAGACTAGGTAATCCCTCAAAGATTTTTCTAGTTCTAATATTTTAGGAATACAAGGGAGCAAGGTTGGGATTAACAAAATAATTTGTAAAGTGTCTTTTGGATTTGTTGAAGGGGAGAAAGACAAAGGTACTTTTGTGCTATATTAATTTCAGTTTTATTTTTCTATTGTGATTATGAATTATTTTTGTCATTATTTTTGTGGTTTTTATGACTATTGCGATTGTTAATTTTTATTATTAATTATTAATTTTGTGATTGTTAATTGTGTTTTTGCTGTTCCTTCTACAGATAGAAGTTTTGATGGATAACATGCACAAACAAAAACAATTACAGTATAAGAAAACTATGGAAGTGAGTAATCTTTTGTTTTGTCTTTTAAAGATGAGTAATCTTGACATGAGAAACGGCTTATTGTTGTGTATAGAGACCCTGCCTCTGGGTCAGAAAGACCTGGGTTCACATCCTGCTTCTTACACATACTGACTGGGTGACCCTAAAAAAACACATACCCTTTCAATGCCCTGGCATCTGATTCTCTAAGACTCATAATTGGAGAAGAGATTTGTGCCAATGTGTAGGAGGAGAGTTGTTTCCTGATGGGAGGTTCCCTACATCAGTGAAATCACAGGTCTAGTTACTCATCCCACCCCTAGAATTATTGATATATTATTGAAATCCTTTGGCATAACTAAAAATGTTTTCTTTTGAACTTGTTTTCCATTTGAACTAAAATTTTAAAATTAATAAAAGTATTCATATCCTTAGACGTCAGATGGGTCTAGTAGCCTGACTTCTAGTCTTGGCTTTGTCACTAGCTAGTTGTGACCCTGGGCAAGTAACTAAAGTTCTCTAGGCTTCCTTTTCTTCATCTATAGAGTGAGGAGGTTGGCCCAGGTAACCTCTAAGCTTTCTTCCAGCCCTCAGCCTCTGATCTTGTTATCTGTTTCCCATCTTTGATATCACAGATAGAGAGACTCTAAGAATTGGCTAATACAAGAGATCTGGATGTACAGGCATGGGAGACAAAAGTTTCCTAGATAGACAAAGGCAGCAGTAGGAAGGGACATGTTTAGGATAGACATCCTGTCTCAAAAGAGACTTATGGCTGTAAGAGAGCCCCCCAGCCCAATCCAGAGTTTTTGAACTACGATGGGGCAGTTTAGATGATGACTCAAAATTCACTTTGGTATATTTCTTACCTGGATCTTCTTTACCTGTTTCTTCTACCTCTAAAATTTTATAAGTATGTCTATACTGCTTCAGTTCATATAGTATATGCCTAGAGGGTCAACCTTCTGGCTCATCCAGGTTCAAAATTTGATGTTTCTGTGCCTATAGAGATCAGCTAGGTTAGAATCATAAAATCTTAGAGTTGGAAGAGATCTTATAGGTCATCAAATCCAGCGTCTCACTTAGCATAGGAATTCATTCCACAATATTCTTAACAGATGATTATCTGGTCTCTGTTTGAACACTTTTTAATTTCATGGAGTTCATTGCCTTAAAAACCAGCTCATTTTATCATCTGAGAGCTCTGGCTTTCAGAAAGTTTTTTGTTACTGTTAGTCAACATGTAATTTATGTAACCCATGCATTCATCCTTCTTCTGTCCTCTGAAGCAACAGAAAAGAAGTTTATCCTCTGCTTTTAGTATAACAAAAATATGGTGGGAAGTTGCAAAGAGGGAAATAGAGGCTTGATGCTAGGAAATGCCTCCTAATAGGGAGAACTGTCCACAAATGGCATGGGTTGCCAAGGGAGCTTGTGGGTTCCCACTTCTTAGAGGTCTTCAAGTAGAGGCTGCCAGGTGTGTTGAGTGGGGATTCCTTTTTTGGTATGGACTGGATTAGATGGTGACTAATGTCCTTTCTAGATCTTAGACTAGTTGAAGTTGTGGCATCCCGTCAGTACTTGAAGATGGTTTTCATGTGTGATCACTGTATGGTAGGTTTTGCTTAACGGCTTTTCTTTATCGTAAGGAAAGTTTCAATTGCAGGGAGAGTGTTGGGGTCTTTTTCAGAAATGTCTGTGATGTAAAGAAAAAAGGCATCAATAAAATGCCTTTAAAATAAAATACATAATTAAAATTATTTTAATTTAAAAAATAAATAAATAAAAGTCAATAGATGCACCTTTGTGAGGTTAACAATCAGTAAATAAAGGAAGCTGTAGACACACATATGGAATCATTTATAATCATGCAGTTTTTTCATTTACTGGTTTCCACTTACCTGCTCATTTTAAAATGTTCTTTTCTTATGCTCTTGTTCATACATTTGAGTAGCTGTACTTGCATTGACGGTAAAAATAAAAAACTATTTTTAAATTTTTTATTAATTAATTTTTAGTTTTCAACAATCACTTCCATAAGCTTTTGAGTTTTAAATTTTTCTCCCCCTCCCTCCCTCTTCCTTCCCCAAGATGGCATGAAATCTGATATAGACTCTACATATACATTCCTATTAAACATATTTTCA